CCAATCACGAACAGAGGCACAGGGACGACCGTCGCAGGGACCTGCTCACCGGCGGTCTGATGACACGTCAGACGAATCGATGACTGTTAGTAGAAGAGAGCTCGAGGCGCTGCAGGCTGAGCTGGCCAGGCTGAGGCGGGAGGCATCCTGCCGTAGCACTCCTGCATCGGTGTACCAGCGCTCTCCTGGAGAGCTCCGTCTTCGGCCACGAGTGTCTGTGGTGATCAAGTATGGCGACATTTGCAAATGGAACTGGGCTCAAGTGCTGCCTGTTCTGTACCCACCCACGACCTACCAGGATGCGGATCTTTTGTTGGCGACCTTGCAGGAGCAGATAGATGTGTTGGAAGGCCTCACTCATGCGAAGAGGCGGGGAGTCTTCTGGAATTGGGTGCAGAGAGCGGAGGAAGAAGGCATCGTCCGCTACGATGACGGCGCTGGAACGCTCACTCGTGTCACGGCGGACCGGCCGGGCTGCACAGTCAGGCCCATCCATCTCCCGGAGGTTTCGGAGATCCCCACCCGCCCACCCGATCGCACGGCATCGATCCCGGGCGCGTCTGCTGAGTGTGCGGGGGGTGCGGCCGCACGCGGAAGGGCTGCTGCACGCGAGAGGGGCACACGAGAGGTCGGCCGAGAAGCGGAAGCACACCAACAGCACCGGCCAGAGGTGATGCACCCGCAGCAACAGCCTCGCCCACAGATTCCCCGACTCGTATCGGTTGACCCGAGAACCGCAGGGCAGCCAGGGCAGAGTGCACCGTCGGCTCAGCAAAACCATCCACATAATGCACCCAATGAGGACCACCACCCACCCCTCCGCATCCTGCAGCGAACATCTGCCGAGGGGCAAGACCGCCAAGTCCCCTTCACCGCAGTGCGACACATCGAGGCTCCACCCGTCGTCGCAGCGTCCAACCAGCAAGCCCACCACACCAACCAGCCGACACGCGCGGCCGCTGCGTATACAACGGCCGGCGGAAGCGGCGACCCAGATTGGCCGGACAGAAACCCTGGGGGCCGTGGTGGTGGACGTGGCAACAACGGAGGACGGGGGCCTGGTGGAGGGAACAATGGAGGTCGCCGTGACGGTGCTGGTGGAGAGGGGCGACGTGGTGGTGATCGCGATAGGGACCGACGAGACGATCGCCGACGAGATGAGAGGGGCCGTGACGGATACCTCGGCCCCCTCTTCGAGGATGTGCCCGAGAGGGAGGATGATGACTTGGGCAGGGAGTGGCAGGATATGGTGGCTCGCGAGCACACGAGGCGAGCATACGAAGAGAAGTTGCGACGAGATGAGGAACGTGAGCAGCAGCGGCGGGCGATGAAAGAGCTGAAGCCGTCCCCCTTCAGTGGCGATGATGGCATGCCAGCAAAGGAGTGGTTGAGAGAGTTGGAGACGTGGTTCGACGAGGCAGCCGTAGCCCTTCAGATGAGGCCGCAGATGTTCCACAAGCAGCTCAAGCCGGGGAGCAGTGCAGCCGCCTGGTG